TGCTATATTTATGTAATATTCATGAGGCAATTGACAATTTCGTGAGAGTAAAAGTCAATAATCTAGTTCAACTGCCTTTTTAATGAAATAAATGTCATCATTAATTAATTAAGTCATTTTTAGAACGCCCTAGTTATACTAATTATATCTTTAGACATACGTCATTATTTTTATTCATGCAAGTATATTATATTTTAATCTTGACCTAAGTAATGTTTGCTAAATTATTATACCTAAATGTTTAGCTTTTAAGTAGTTTATTTTTGTATTCAATTAGATTTCTACAAATATTTATCTTAAGATAGATGAAGTTTACTTAATTTGAACATATTCGTTTGTATAATTATTAAAAAGTATTCACAATAACAAACTATAGACTGGCATATAAAAAGTAAAAAATAAATTCAATGAAGGCATTTAGTGCAGATAAAGGTTATTTATGTTTCGCTCGCACTCCGCTCTCTCTGATTTTGGTTACCCGTGTCTCCTGTTATGCCTTTTCCAGAACCAATTCCAGGACTTATTTCTCACTTGCCCAACAAAAATACAACGCCTTTTACTTCTTTAGAAGATGTGAATACAGCAGTTCAGTTGTTGATAGTGAAAATAGCTAGTGAGCGACGATACTCGGGCGTCGGTGCCATTCATGATGAGCTCTTTAAAGTATGACATATATTGCTTATTGTACAGTGCTATCCCTCTTCTTTAGAGTTTCTACGAAAGATTAAAATTAATCCAGATAATATACCTCGACTAGTAGAGCATAGAAGTCTAATCCAGCGAGTTAATACCCAGTTGTGGGCTTATTCTCTGACGCATAATGTGGTAACATTGTCTGATTTTGAAAGCCTGGTTAAGGTGAGTTTTTAGATATAATATTTTAGTCTGTCGCCGGCGATTCGGCTTACCTTTTAGGACCTACAACATCCCTACCTGCGGTACTTGAATTGTGCCGAGTGGAGTTTTTTCATCCAAATATTTACAGAGCATTTGATATTGAGACAAGAAGCTCCCAAGTGGCCAGTGAAAACCCTTTAACATTTTCTTCTGAAAAGGTCTTGGAGGAGCTTAACGCCTGTATCTTTGCCAATAGGTATAAGCTGCCATCCTCTCTCAGCTGCTCACGTGGTTCCTCTTCAAATTGGTGGGAAGCTACGTTTGTACGCCACATGTTGGCCAAACTAGGGGATCCAAGTGTTTCTGCGTCATCCGTGGCTAGTCCATTTAATACAAGACCTACGGCCTTACCTGTAGGTCAAAGAAGCACTTATCCCGATGTGCGTGAATTCAACCTTAATCGCCTCGCATCCTACGGAATTAGATTCAAAGGTTTTTCGCAGATGCTAGAGGTTCGATTGTATCTTTATATTCTTATTCTTTTTCATATAATTTTATTTTAGAGTGTTCTTAGAATGCTTCGACCAGAAAGTCTGTCTCGTGCCTCCAAAATAGCGCAAGATATGATTGATGCTGATGTTCTCAAAATTTATCAAACGTTTGTAGAAAATCTACTCAGCCCAAATGCCCTAGGTATAAAATTTCAACTACTAACAATAATATAATTAATTTTGGAAAATTATATGCACGATTTTCTATGCTTTTTAGAGGTTCTTAAGAGAAAGAAGCCTATCAAGGCTCTTAAATATCTCTCAATTAAGTCTCAAGAATTACATGATTCCTTATCAAAATGGTCTGAAGAAAAAAATTTTGTTTGGCCTCCAGGACACCTTGATTCCTTACTGATTTTCAAAGAGTTCATGGACAGAATTTCAGCTACTGGGGTGAGCTTATTCGCTACTGTCAAACTATATTTGAATGATTATAAGCCACTGATTTATATATTTTTGACATAAGGTCTTTGACTATCCTAATATAAGACAATAGCTGATTTTCTGAATTACTTATTTTCATAGCCCTTTCGAAGTCTTGTACATTTGATTCTTCTCCTCTCACACTCGGATGAGAAAAGCGTTCATCGTCTCCTCAGTCGAGTCACCTCTTCTATTATTGATCTTACTAAAGAAGAAGATGATGATGATGATGCATGCTTATTGCAAATCAAACAGAGTTTGACGCCTAAACCACAAGGTACTATTGCATTTTGAGAATATGATTCCGTATTGAAAATTAATATTAATATTGTTACTTTATACCGATAACTATAAAATTAATTTAATCATATACATTTATTTTAACCAAAATGCTGGAGTTATGTTTATTAATTTGAGCATTATATTAGAAAAAATGCTATTTATTCCTCAGTCATCTATTTTCAAATAATATCTTAACTATCCTTAAAATATTTTTCTACAATGTAGAAATACTGGGTTTCGAAGAGGCATTTTATAGATTGATGTTGGAGTACCTTTCATTTCGTTTGAGAAGGCGAGTGGAAGGGAAGTTAGTAACATCGTAGGGTATGGGGACGGCTGCCTTGGAGCTGTGGTTGTAGTTTTGTGAGAATAGGTTTTCGTCCATGCTGCCCTGTAACCCCGATTTATCATTGCTGAGCTTTCGTCCGTCATGTGACGGACATCGTCAGAACAAGAAACCATGGTTAACGATAATTCACCAGAAACACGAAGGTCAGAAAGGTGGCCAGCTCCAAAACTACTTGCTTATATTTCAATTTGGTCAATTTAGGCATCTCATGTTTTGGTTGGATGTCCTATGCTTTGCCTATATGCTTGCTCATAAGTTAAATTAAGTTTCTACAGATAATGCGTGAGATGGGTGCAATTGAAACTGAACAACTGCATTCTTCTCTAAAATACTTAGCCTTTGATCCTGCAATGTGACCGCATGTGATTGCGTCCCATTGCACTTGTGTTGTTAAATACATTGACCTTGAAATTAGTGTGACGTGAGATAAAAAACCAGATTACAGCTTACTTAAGCCTCCTTGCTCGGTGGTACTTCTCGTTCTACCCCTTTCTCTAAACCTATCCACAGGCTACATTCCTCTATTCAGGATGTTGGCTGTTGGTGATTTTTATCGCATCTCTAATCTTTTGCTTACTGGTATAGTCTCCATATCCAGCTAAGCGTTTGACATGAAACCAATCTATCTGGTGTATTGTGCGAGCCATGTGTTTGGCCAATTCAGATTTTTGGACGCATATATCCTTGCAGGCTGTTTTGCGTTTGGATAACTTCTTATCTATGGGTCTACAGGTCTTTTACGCATAGTAACTACCACATGAACACAAAATCTGGAGAGCTTCTCAGAGTATTCTAGAAAAGAAGGCAACACCGAGGAAGTGTTATTTTCTCTTTATAAATGGTCCTGATGTCCCACCTCCTCAATAATTCGCTTATCTTCTACAGATTACGCGATGCCAGCATAAGGATCCTGGCAGAGTGATCTATCTTTTTATCTAGCCCCAAATATATATTTCCTTTCATTCTATTTGACAACATTCGAAAATATTTTTCAATCAGCCCTCTTGGATAATTATTATCAGCCAAAATTTGCCTCCTTAATTCCTCGTCCCTATGTTTAACATTTTCCAGACACTGGCTCCTTATTATCATAGACGTAATTACTCCTACTTTTACCCCATAAGTTTGTTTAGAGAAGAAATTCGAAAGGAAACCTATATTCATGGATTTTCTATACACATCTCTATCTAATCTGGTCCCCTCTTTGCTAGCTAGGACATCAATAAAAGGCAAACCACCTTCCTTTTATAACTCGATGGTGAATTTCGTCTTCCCATCGATCCTGTTCATCAAATCAAGAAAATTCTCCGGGTCTTCTTTGCAATGTTGACAAGTAGCAAAGTAGTCGTCCATATGGCGAATTAATAATTTAGAAAATAAAAGTTACTCCTGAATTAAACTTTTTTTAAATATAAACCTTTATATGAATTCCTTAATTTTG